TGAAACTTCAAAGGAAATACATATTTTTTCTAAGAAAAATTGAAGTTGTTAGATAAGAGGAAGCTATACTTAGAAACTGAAAGCACGGTGACATTGCATTTTCACAGATTTTAACATAGCCTTAGACTATATTGCAAGTTTAATCTTGTGTACTTCCTACAGTATGGGTTTTTATTTGTAGATTGTGTACGTATTACATTACCATTATACGTTTCAAAACTATTCTGAATTCATGTGTGCCAAACAGGCAAATATAGTTTTCTTCATGCCTGGGGAAGCTGTGAAACTTATGAGTGATACAATGTGATATGCATTCTTCACAAATATAGTGCCAATCTATAAAAGGTGGAATAAGGACAACCCGGGGAATTACAGACCAGTCAGCTTAACTTCAGTACCTGGAAAGATAATGGAGCAAATAATTAAGCAATCAGTTTGCAAATACCTAAAGATAATAGAGTGATAAGTAACAGTCAGCATGGATTTGTCAAGAACAAATTGTCTCACCCCAACTGATTAGCTTTCTTTGACAGGGTAGCAAGCTTTGCGGATGGGGAGAAGTAGTAAATATGGTATATCTTGATTTTAATACAGCTTTTGATACTGTCTCAAGTGACCTTCTCATAAACAACCTAGGGAAATACAGCCTAGATGGAGCTACTATAAGGTGGGTGCATAACTGTTTGGGAAACTGTTCCCGGAGAGTAGTTATCAATGGTTCACAGTCAAGATGGAAGGGCATATCAATCCCACAGGGATCGGTCTTGGATCCGACTGTGTTCAATATCTTCATCAACAGTATAAGGGCATAGAGCGTACACTTATAAAGTGTGGGAGGGGTTGCAAGTGCTTTGGAGGATTGAATTAAAATTCAAAATTATCTGGACAAACTGGAGAAATGGTCTGAAGTAAGTACGATGAAATTCAGTAAGGACAAATGCAAAGTACTCCACTTAGGAAGGAACAATCAGTTGCACATACGTAAAACATGGGAAATGACTGCCTAGGAAGGAGTACTGTGAAATGGGATCTGCAGGGTCATAATGAATCACAAGCTAAATATGATTCAGCTGTGTAACACTGTTCCAAAAAAAAAGCAAACATCATTCTGGAATGTATTAGTAGGAGTGTTGTAAGCAAGACACGAGAAGTAATTCTTTCACTCTACTCCGTGCTGATTAGGTCTCAACTGAAGTATTATGTCCCGTTCTGGGTGCCACATTTCAGAAAAGATATGGACAAATTGGAGAAAGTCCAGAGAAGAGCAACAGAAATGATTAACGGTCTAAAAAATATGACCTATGAGGTAAAATAATAAAAATTGAGTTTGTTTAGTCAGGAGAAGAGAAGACTGAGGAGGAACATGATAACAGTTCTCAAGTACATAAAAGTTGTTACAAGGAGGCAGGAGGAAAATTGTTCTCTTTAACCTCTGAGGCTAGGACAAGAAGCAATGAACTTAAATTGCAGCAAGGGTGGTTTAGGTTGGACATTAGGAAAAACTTCCTAACTGTCAGAGTGGTTAAGCATGGGAATAAATTGCCTAGGGAGGCTGTGGAATCTCCATCATTGGGAATTTTTAAGAGCAGGTTAGACAAATACCTGTCAGGGATGGTCTAGATCAGTGCTTCTCAAAGTCGGGCCGCCGCTTTTTCAGGGAAAGCCCCTGGCGGTCCGGGCTGGTTTGTTTACCTGCCGCGTGCGTAGATTCGGATGATCGTGGCTCCCACTGGCCGCGGTTTGCTGCTCCAGGCCAATGGAGGCTGCGGGAAGGGCGGCCAGCACATCCCTTGGCCCGTGCCACTGGTTTAGATAATACTTAGTCCTGCCTTGAGTGCAGGTGACTGAACCGGAAGACCTCTTGAGGTCCCTTCCAGTTCTGTGATTCTGTATCTATTTGTTATTGTGTCACATATTTGTAGCATGCATATTCCATGCTAAATTTTTAAGGGAAAATACTAGGTTTATTAAAGAAACTGGGTTGATTTTTTCAGAAAAGAAAGGTAGTGTGCTGATACACAGTCCATTTGGGTATAATGTGGATGGAAATTTGTAGAAGTTATATATATCTTAGTAGCAAACAAGTATACAACCAAATCCTGGATCCATTAAAATCAGTGGTTCAGGTATTAAACGAGTGTAAACTGGCATATCTCCATTGAAGTCAATGGAGTTATTCCAGAGTATCAGCTGAGGATCTATGCTAATAGGTTTTTTGCCATTGACTATGATGGTATGAGGATCCGGTCCATAGGAAATATGTAGGCATCCGGTTATACCATGTAAATAGGGTGGTTGTGATAGTTATAATCTCCTTAGCTCCATGATCATTGCATAAATTGAAAATCATTAGATAAATTTACTTTCTGCATCACTGTGGATATTGCTCATCTCTGTCCATAACATTGTTTCTCTTGCTATAGCACTTCATGGCAAAAAGCAAAGTAAGCTCAAAAACAATAAGCAAACAAAAGACAAATGCATTGTATAGACAAAATATGTGAAGGAATGGGGGCAGTAAAGTTTTATTACCACTTTTTCTGGAAAACCTTCACCAGTTGCGGCTGTACCACTCATGAATAATGATTTCTTTCCAAAACAGTAGTGATAAAATCTTTATAACACCTAACCCTATCATATATTCTATATTTGTAACATCATTGTGAACTATATCTTCTTGTCATAAATTCATGCATTTTGGATAGTACGTGTATAGTTCCCCATTACTAAAATAATAATAAAAAATAAAAATATGCAAAATGGACACAATCTACCAGCACAGGTGACCAGATCTAAAGTATCAAAATAAGCAGGCAAACCTAGGCCAAAGGGGGGAAAAAATGATAGTAAACATAAAAAATACAAAAATGCAGATACAGTATTTCATTGATGAAAATTAAAAGAACGAATCAAAAATTTACAAATACTAAAAGAAATTGCAAATAAAACATACAGAAATCTCTTCCTGTTCTATGGCTAATTAACAGATAACTGAATCTCCAACCCAGATTTGAATGCTTAGAAATAATGCACTGGTGGCCTGCTCCTGTGCAACTAAAATCAGCGGGAGCCTTGGTATTGATTTCAGTGGAACCAAGATTCTCTTGCGGTGCCCGATATAACCCCCAAAAGAAAATTAAAATATTTTAAAATGATTCTCATATTGGCCACAGTAATAATTGGATAGCATCTTATCTGAAATGCAGATTACATTATCAAATCTATACCAACACGAAGTTTCACTCTATTAATGACATACAGGAAAAAAAATGCCTGTTTCCATTTTAAAATCTAATTTATTTAAATTGTTTCAGCTTCACAAAATTTTAAATAAGCTGAGTCCGTTATCACCAAGTTCGAATGTTTGCCAGTTACTTGAAATTAGCAAAAACTTTATAATAATAATAATAATTAATATATCTTACATTTATGTAGTGACTTTCTTATTGAAGGATCCCAAAGTGCTTTACGAGCTATACTGTAGATATTGCTTCATCCGCTCCTGAAATGCAGCCATCTCTGATGGCGGAAACAATGTAGCCTAGGAAATAAGGGTAAATACTGTGTCCAGTGAAAAATATTGAATAATTTAGGTACAGTTGGCAGAACGTAACTATTCAGATTTTGTCAACATTCCTCCTCTTTCAAAAATCACCACTGGATTTTTATTAACTTCAAGTAGTTAGGACCTCTGTTTTTTTAAAGTTTCAGATGAAAGATGACACTTACAGTAGCATAGTGCCCCCTCAGAGCTAACTAGGATATTTGTTTTGTATTGACTGAGAAGGAGAAAAGTTACCTCGCACAACAGGTTCTGAGGTGCTATTGGACATGAAATTTTTTTCCATCCAAATACTGACTAGCTCCAGTTGTGTGCTCTGCTCCCAAGAACTGACTACATCATAGCCTAAAGTGATATGTCTGTTGACAAAACACAAAGGCAAAAAGCTAATACAGGAGCAAAGGCAGCCAGTTAAATGATTCCATTTACAAAAGGAAGGTCATCATCAATATTTACATCTCAATGAAAACCTAACTGTTCAGTCAAAATGAAAAATGGAAATACACAAACATTAAAAACACTTAAAAGAAAATTCAAAGATACAAAAAGAAATGCAGCAACAAAGGAGCCGCCACCTTCCAAACTGAAGAGACACTGCAAGTATAAACCGCTTTTATGCTGTGTGTGTGCGTGCGTCAGAGAGAGAGAGATACACATACACATACAGTATGTGGCTTGGCAAAGGCATATGTAAAAAAATAGTAGGGGTGCATTGGCAAATTTATCACTTCTGAATAATGGAGGAACTATAGACTTAGTTTTTTTTATAGCACCTCACTGTTATAAACAGCAGAGTTACAAACTGGCCAGTCAACCATGTACCTCATTTGGAACCAGAAGTGCACAATCAGGCAGCAGAAGAGCCAAGACCAAAAAAAAAGCAAATACAGTACAGTACTGTATTAAAAGTAAACTACGAAAAAAAGGAGAAAGCGGCATTTTTCCTCTTCGTAATAAAGTTTCAAAGCTGTATTAAGTCAATGTTCAGTTGTAAACTTTTGAAAAAATATCCATAATGTTCAGAGTTACGAACATTTCAGCGTTATTGAGGTGTTTGTAACTCTGATGTTCTACTGTATCTAAATACATAAACTTGCACAGACTGTGGTAGTATTTTATTACTATGAAACTGAATTATCTGTATTCCCTTGTGCTTGATGAAGTTTCTTAGAAATGAAATCATACAGTAAAACAATACATTTTCCAGTTGACGCAGTGCAAAGGAAATAAGCCTTATTTTTTACAAGCATGGAAACTGGTTGCCCAAAGGGAATAAGTGAGAGAATTCCAGCTCAGTACATTTACTTTAGGATCAAAATGATTTTAAATATACAGGAACTGACTTCCAAAGGACAATGTTACAAAAAAAGTCCACTTTGATGTCTAAACTACTTTCATTTATTGTATTTGTTAAATATATTTTAATATATCTTGGCAGGTTTAGATCCAGATAAACATCTAGGAAAAACATTGGATCAAATGGAGCCTTATCTTTTGGAGGTAAGTATCACTTAAAGCATGCTCAAAATATGCAGTGTTTCAAAAGAGAAATTATATATATAGAAGCTCACTTAATAAAATTAACTTAATTCTGGAAACAGTTACTTACTTTCAGAAACAAGGTGTTAGGCTAAAGTTCGTTTTACAGAAGACATGGACATCTTCTGTGTACTTCATATGAGAATGGAACTCCTGTTAAAGTCAGTTGGCAAGAGGTGTCATATTGTATGTTTTGAAAAGTAAGGTAGAGGGTAAGAACCCTCAGTATTAAGGGCAAACTGACTTTTAGGTAATTATGATGGTCTTAAATACCCAAAAGTAATGTTAAAGTGGCTGATCATGACAGGGTCAGAATTAGATAAGTATCTAGTAGTACTGAGATATAAAACATTTTGGAGTTTGAAGTGGCAGCCATGTATTTGGGAATCTCTATGAAGCAGTTTTGTGCTCTGAAGCAGATGTGATGTGTGCACAACAATAAAGATTATTTTTAAGGGTTTTCTGGGAAGGTGTGGGCTGGAAAACTAAAGAAGGAATAAGTGCTTGTTTCCTTTCCCATAGCATCAAGGATGATGACTCCCTCAAAAGTCACCAACTCTCTTAGGAATAAGAGTAAAGAGTATGTATTGTAGTTAGAATATAGTTGATTATCTGCAATTTTTTTTTAAAGTTTTCTAATTTTAACTAACAGGGATAGTATATGCTAAGCATCCAAATATAGACAATATTTACCCTGACACTTCATTTACAGGGAACTCTTTTCTCAGTATGGTCTCAGTAGCTTGTCTTGGCACTGAGATTATCTGAGAAAGAAAAATCTAGGCAGGAAACCTGCCTATATGCTAAAACATTTTATTGGCTGGAGTAACCTCCAAAGCCCGCTCCACTGAAAGGGGTCAGCTTGGAAAGACTGGAGCATGCACTTAGCCCCAGAAACATCGACCATATGCAGCCTCCCCACCATTCTTTGACCAGTTCAACTGCAACAGTTTTACTGCCAAAAGATCCCCCAGACTTGGAGTAGGGATGTAGCGGGAAGGATTTGTCCTGAAGTATATAATTAGTTTCTAGTGGAAAGGAATGGATTGTGTAATGTCCCCAGGAGCATTGGCGGGACTCTTTTCCTTACACAGACTAAAACTAGATAATCATTTGGCTGGATTTTTCGTTCTCCTGAACATGAAACACAACACCTAGATGTGTTGTTCACTATTTTGAGGAACCAAAGATTGCACATCTAAACCTGGTTTTCTATATTTAATTGTATGACATGTGGAGTTGTGTGGCTGCAGAATGAAAGATGGATGCCACAACACAGACGCAAAGCCATCACCAAGATTACTTGTGGCCTTATACAGATGTTGAAACTTCTTTGTGACTTGAGTGTTTGTCAAGAAGGTTTTCCTTTAGGAATTATGTAAATAACTTTGCTGAATAGAATATCATCATAACCAACTATGTTTCTTGGAAGCTAAAATACACCACTAAGTTTTTTTTTTTATGGAGATATCCCATCTCCTAGAACTGGAAGGGACCTTGAAAGGTCATCGAGTCCAGCCCCCTGCCTTCACTAGCAGGACCAAGTACTGATTTTGCCCCAGATTCCCAAGTAGCCCCCCTCAAGGATTGAACTCACAACCCTGGGTTTAGCAGGCCAATGCTCAAACCACTGAGGCTATCCCTTCCCCCCCCCCCACTGTTTAACAAAGAAACAGTGCTGTACCATGAGTTTTACAGATGAGGAAACTGAGTTACTGTGAGGTGAAATGATTTGGCCAAAGCAGCATAGGAAGTTAGTGTGAGAACTTGGACTAGAACCCAGTTTTACCAACTCCCAATCTGGTGCTCGAACCACTAAAGCATGCTAGCTCCTTGTGTTTACCACTTGCCGGTTACATTTCTGGGATAGCTTCACATTTTATAACATCTGCCCAGAAACATAACTGTTGCAATATTTAACTGCTGATTCAGTTTTTGCTCCTTGTCTTGATGTGTGTGTGTGTGTGTGAAGGGGGGGGGGAGCGCAAAGCCAAAGCCCAAGGGCTTCAGCCCCAGGAAGGGGGCCTGTAACCTGAGCCCTGCTGCCCAGGACTGAAGCCCTCGGGCTTTGGTTTTGGCCCCAGCAAGTCTAAGCCAGTACTGGCGTCCCCATTAAAATGGGGTCGCAACCCACTTTGGGGTCCTGACCCACAGTATGGAACCGCTGCTCTATGACCAGTTACACAATCTGAGGAGCTTACCCCTTTGTGAATAAGAAAATGGGAAGTATTTTTAACAGCATAATAATTGTGTCTTCAAACTATTGCATGACCATTCAATAATTGATTTTAAATAATTTTGCTTATAGGCTAAAACATATTTCCAATATTTACTTTGTATATATGAATGAGAGAGAGAAAAATGATGGTGGTGTTAGTCCTTTTTGATTATTTTATTTGCCTCACACATTTTTCCCAATCCTTGTTGTCTATGGTATCCAAAGTTTCAAAGTAATTCTTACCAAAAATGTGAGCTTGGAGCATAATGTAACTGGTAATGAAGTAGCGAACATTTCACCTCTAGTTCACTGCTATGAATGCAGCACGTAGTAGTAGTGACCAGAAGTCATTGCTGTCTGATGTCTGTTCAATGACCTGTGTAAAATGAGTTGGCAGTCTCATTGCAGCTCCTAGTATACTGGTTCATGCATCACAAAAACTCTTTACAGTTGGCTCCTTGTTGACCATCTCAAAAGAAAGGCAAGGACCGAATGGGTATAAAGGACAGAACTAACTTCTTACCAGGGTATCCCTCCAGCAGAGTACTGAAATAAGTTGGCAGGACAGCATGAGGAAGCTTACACAGCTAACATTGTTCTGTAGCTCTTTCTGTGGTATGCATGCTATAAAAGTCAGCACAAATAAATTACTTTTACTAGATAGGTGTCTTTGATTTAATGAAACTGAAGCATTAACTACAAACTGAAGATAAATGCTTGGGTTTATGATTTTTAAAAACTTATTTTCTAGCAACCTGATGAGGTCTTTCACATCAGAAACACTGACAGACACGAAGGGATAAAGAGAGAGCCCAGACATCATGGTGAGGGGGCAGAGAGGGGACATGATGCCTCAGCCAAATCAAGGAAAATATCACATTAATTCCATTAATAAGGCTGCAGCTCTCACAGACCCCCATAGGCAGGAGGAGCCCAGAGGCTCCTGGTTCCCTCGGGGCAGAATGTCTCTATCTGCGGAGCCCTTTCAGACCCACCTGCTCAGTTCCCCAAGAGCTGTGATAATAGAGGCCATCTCCAGGCTCTCCTTTTTCATTGCTGCTGTTTGTGCTCCTCTCATCCTAGTCCTGTATATCTAAGGTATTTATATAACCCACCATGACTGCACTATTCGAGTGCCTCACAAGATTTCATATATATAAGCCAGCCAGCTAGGTTGTGAGGTACGTCCATTTTACAGATGAGGGAACTGAGGCACATACAGACTACAGGCCAGATTTTCAAAGGTGTTTAGTCACCAAAAGATGCAGATATGCATTTATTGGGATTTTTTGAATAGCACCTAAGCAGGGTAGGCACCTAACTGACACTGAAATTAATGTGAGTCGGGTGCCTAACTTGCTTAGACACTTTTGAAGATCCCACTAGAGGTGGAGATAGGTGCCAGCTACCTTAGTAAATCTTGAGCAAAGTGACTTTCTTAAGGCCACCCGTAAAATCTGTGGTGTAGGAGGGAATTAAACTGAGGTCTCCCAAGTCCCAGGCTAACACACTAACCACTGAATCACCTTTTCTTTCCGGGCCACGCTCCCACTGTGAAAACCCTTCGTGGCTGCAGTTACAGAGACAGAGGCACTTTGCCCCCCAAAATGCCCCATTGTCTCTATGCTCTGATTTCTGATAGGCAAGAAAGGTGAATGATTTTATAAACACACACCTCTAGTCTCTATGGTTTATGCTCCAGCCATATATTAGATTAATCTAGCTGAGTCCGTAGAGACTATTCATGTTTAAATGTAGAGGGTTCCACTTCCTGTTTTCTTATTCTTTCCTGGGGAGATTCTGGCTTAGCCCATGAAAAAGCACTTAAAATCAAGAGTCTCCTGGTGTGCAGAGTGACAGAATGGGCCTGCAGTGCTCTCATTGTGCCATATATGTGGCTGTGATGCCACCTTCTTGCCCCAAACTCTGATGTTCTGTGACCAGAGGCAAAAGCATCAGGGTTGAGTTGTTGCATAAAAAACCCCCCAAAACACTATTTTCCTTTCTCCCCGTCAGCAGTGGAGATAGCACTAATAGCAGGTGTAAAAAGCTATTTTCTTTTTGCTGGTAGAGTTTGGCTGTGAAATGAGCTTTCTGAAAAAGGTAGGTTAAACCAAAGGATTCGATTTAAAACCTTTGTCTTTGGGAAACATTTCCCATAATAACCAAAGTGATGCGAGGAGAGGGGAAGAAGAGAGAGACATTGGATAGGGGAGAGCCAAGGGAATAAAGGGGCATGATTGCTGCTTCCCCCCTCAGTTCCTTCTTACTGCTTATGGTGAGAGGTGGAGCTCCCTGCTGCTTCTGAAAGCCGAACTTTGGCTAGACAGCCTTTGTAAAAAAGAAGAAAAAATCTTGTATATAGTTGTAGGTTATTTAGTTTAGTGTTAATTTAGTGTAGTGAGTAAGTTAGTTTAAATTGGGATTCACTATGGAGAAATCCCCAAGTTTTAAATGTGTCGTGCAGGGCCAAGACCCCTCTTAGCGATAAGCACAAAAGTTGCCTAATCTGCTTAGGTGAGCGACATGAGGGACAAATGTTCTATTTGTACCTCCTTTGAGACAAGAATGAAAAAAAAGAGGGATTTCCTCCTTAAAATACATCTTCTCAAGAAGGCAATGCATCCTAGAGGGTCCTTCTGGCTGCCTAGCCATGTATATGTTGAAAGATTCTTGTGCTGCCTTTCGATCACTGGGTATCTACACTCCAGTAACAAAGAGGAAGCAGTTCAAGTCCCAAACA